TTTCAAATCGCTAAAACTTTTTACAGTGATGAGATTTTGAAATGATATTTGGCACACATGTAGAGCTGATGTAGCTCAATAAAGTTACCGGTCAGATTTTTTAAAAACTTCTTAGATAAAAAGTTATAGCTATTTGGTATAATGATTTATCGTTATCTGTTATAAAGTTTTGAAAAAAACCGGTTACGAGTTACTATATTTTATTAAACAATAGTTTATCTAGTAAACCGGTTAACATTCTTGATATAGTTTAGTTTTAGGTACGTAGAACAAAACCCAATTTAAGAAACAATAACATAACGATAACTAATAAGAAACCTGGGTCACTCGGGTCATGTAATTAAGTAATCAAATTAAAACTTTAGGCTCAAATATTGTATATTTTTGGAATTAAGGTAATACAAATAAACTTCCAAATACGATGATTAATCATTTTAATTTAACGTTAATATACAATCTTGTTAATAAAGTGATTCAATGTCAAATAAAATCAACACCCTTACTTCGAATTAAGAATTATATTTTAAAAATATGGATATCAAAGTTATCAAAGATATCAAAAAAGATTTAGACCGTTGGTACAGTAGACTTCGAAGTCGGTATGTTGATTTGGTTGGTGACTTTGGTGGTATGTATCAAATTAAGAACTCAATTTTTACTGTAAATACATATAAATTTCTTTAAAAACTTTATAATAATTTTTATATATCGATTTTTGTTAATTTAAGGTAGTGAGTTATTCGTTATAGAAGGCGATAGTTTGCTTTACAAATTCATTTGCGATCCAAAAAGACATTTTCTTAATTTTGGTGAACTATATGGCGGTGGTCAATTTCTGTCATTAACTTTTCTTGTAGAAACATTTCTCAATAAACTCAAACAACGTGGATGCAATTTCCATTTATTATTTTTTCATGAACATAAAGGGATATGGAACTGTGATCCAAAGTTTAGAATTGCAAGAGAAATCATTATTGAACATTTAAAATCGTGTCAAGATGAAAGTAAAATTCCAATTTATGAATTTTCATCATGGTGGAATTCAGAGTTTAATCAATATATTGTTGACAGACAACCGTTGTTTATTTTATCTGGCGATGGGACCAATGAAGAAGGGGCTATTGAAGACGGGACCACTGAAGATTTAAAAATAAGCCTTACTTATAACAATAATGAAATATTAATAAGTTTAATTCCTAAAATTCAAAATAAATTAACAATTCTTTTAAAAGGGTTATTTTACAATTCACTTCATAAAGATCTTTCTATGGCACTTATACCAGGAATGGAGTTTAGAGATTCCAGAGCTCGAGCTTTTGTATTTGATCGTGGTGGTAATGTAAATCAATCAACTATTGAAAAATTGCCAGATATCGTTAGTCTATGTGAATTTGAGGCGGTAGAATCTAATGAAGAAAATTTATGGACTAATATAGAAAAAGATTTTATTACATCCGTGATTTCAAATATATTTAATAAACGAGAAAATGAAGAAATATTGAAGAATGGCGGACAAAGGCTCATTCTAGTTATCATATCGTTAATTGCTGTTTTACACCAAAATTCAGTTCCAATTTATTATTTG